AAAACTTCCAAATGAACATTGAATACAATGGCGTTATGGGCACTTAGCCTGAGACAAGTGTTCATGCACACTTTGTTAGCCTGTGTTAAGGGTGGAGACCGGAACTTGAAAATGGGTCATATTTAACTTGTGCTAAGCGTTCATGCACGTTTTCTTAGCACAGGCTAACGTTTTTGACCTCTGAGCCCACGCTAAGGAGCTGTGTGCGCAAACACAACTAATAAGTCTGCTGCGAACAGAATGTCATCACAAAATCAGTAAACATACACTCAAACTGACAACATTAGTGATATACGACACTGGTCTATCGGCGCTAATTTTAGAAACTTTAAAAACAATAACAAGTAATAACAGTAAATCAACAAAGCCTACGAATGAATTGCACAAGTGAACGGAATATTAAGCTATAATATTAAAGCGATTGTTATAAATAAAATATACAGTGAACTTGACTTGATTAACAGTTACATTATATCCTACCCACAACTTTGTAAATAAATTTACCGGTATGTTAAATTGTTGTATTTATGGAAAATAAAAAGTACTAGGATGAAGTATGTCAACTTTCAAATACACATCCACTAATATAGTTAGCTGGTAACCATGGCAACAAGACCAAGGAGCTCAAGAAGTGGTTTGCCAACCCAACCCTAAATTTAAACAAGTGCATAACGGTATTTATTTAAATTAGTTTAATTTTTTTCAAAACTGTATTAACATCACAGCGAGAGGGGGAAGGATATATACATAATGATACAAAAAGAAGGATGGAAAAAAAAGATCAAATTACAAAACTGAAATCAAGAAATCGATACTGTATTGTATGTTAAGGAGGTTTGCTTCTTTTAGACAGAATTCAAGACCTTGTCATACTTTCATCAATGTCAGTTCATCCTAATAATCTTTTTTATCCCACAATTCTTCCTACCAAAATGTTGGTGCCAAATTTTACGCATTTTTATTTGGCTTAATGGACAAATTATTGGAATGTTATTTCAGCTCAACAATCTCATTGTGAGATTATACTTTATTTTTTTAAATCAGCTACATCCTCAGTTTGCAAATTTACAGATCAGCTAAAATAACATGCTAGCCAAAAAAAAACAACATGTTTTAGAGTATAGAAAATGAAATAAAAATTGGAGTTACAGAAATTTTGATGATGAGAAGAATTTGATGTAAATTAAAGTGAGGCCCATTTTTGTCACCATTCAAAAAAAAAAAAATCTAACTTTTTTCTCCAAAATCTCAAAAATTACCAAATAAAATTATAGAAAAATTTTGACCAAAATTTGGATGGGAAAAATTATGGCACTGCAAGGGTGTATCGTCTGCTGCTGCCATTTTCTTTCCATTCATTTTGATTTCTCTGGAAGCTTTCAGCAATTGATTGCATAAGTGATGATCACCAATTTAAAAAAAAAAAAAATTAGATCAAAAAGTCGGATTCAAAATATTCGCAAAAAATGTTAAAAATTAATTCAGTATAAAGAATTCAATTATTAACATTAATATTTATAACATGTTGTGTCTGTTATTGTACTGCTATTGTTTGGCAGTCAATGTAAGAATGATGATTGATTATTTCCTTATTGATAAAAGTTGTTCACATGCTATGCCTTAGAAGTGGACATACAGATGTATTTATATACAATATTAACAAATATTTTCCATTAACGTATTCATTTCTAGGGAAAATATTAAAATTGAAATATATACATTTTAAAGTGGTCAATGACATATCCTAACCATAGACCTCAGAGAACATTGCTTTCTAAGGTCTATGTTCTAACTCAAAGACATATTATTTTTATTTTTACTTGATATCTACTTTTTAACCATGATAAAAAAAAATTTTCAAAATCCAGACTGATCATCATCCTTTCGTTAAATTTCAAATTTTTGGGAAAATTCTTTTTGTTGCCAAGAAATTATATAGTACAAAGTATTGCCCGGCTGTATTGATGAACCTCAACTTTCACATCACCAGTTTCCCTCTTTTCATCACAAATTACAAAATAGTCCAAAATAGTTATAGTCTGCACTTTCCTTCTGAAGATTGAGACAAAAATAGTCAAATTTTGAGTAAAAACTAAAAATTGACTCAAATTTTTTCAGTTGCCTCCAAAAATAGGGTTCATTTTCAGAAATATTCCGAAATATAAGAAAAGGTGCAGACAAATTTGGGAGAGAAAGTCTGGTGGTGAATATCATGACCTTGAAAGGAAAGTCAGACTGCAGCATTTTATAAACAATGTCTTTTGTGCTCTCCAATATTACAATACATTGTCAACATAACATCGTCTCCAATATATATACGGTAAGTCACCATTCCTACTCCATTGATAGAGTTTAATATAGCACCTAACAATGTACCATGCGAAAATATAATAAATGTCGCACACAAAGTTTAATTTTAATATTCCAAAGACAACAATACTCTTTTGTTTTGTTTTTCTAAGCTCATATGCACATAACAATAGCATGCGATAGGCGTCAAGAAACATGACATTAGGTTGTCACTATCTCCACTGCTGTCATAAACAGAAGCAAATAAAACAAATTTAGTCGACTAGTATAAATAAATAATTTCAAAGCTTTGCTTCCACCTATCAGCGCAGACCTCAAAATTTGAGAAAAAGATAACATTACGATATATAAGTAATTTTTTTAAGTGTCGTCAATTGTAAATTCAATTATGCGATTCCCGATAGACACTCTATAAAATATAATGTTTCAATAACAGAGATTTGATTTCTAATTACCTCGTTCAGTGGCAGGTGTTAAAATTGCTTTAATGTCAATATTATTTCTAAAAAGTCCCTTTATGAGGCTTTCAGACATGAACTGAAAATTTAAACATCATTTTCTCAAACGCCAGCGGTCTAATAGCGCGATTATGAGGTTTTAATAAAAATAAACCTAACATAACCATAGAACACTGTTCACTGCATGACACTGGAATCAAAAGTGAACAATATGCACAGACAACTCAACGAAAAGTGTATTACTTTGTCGCGACTTTTTAGTAATCTGCTGTGAATTCCAGGCAAGTTTATCTCTACGGTAGTTAGAAGTATGTTTGTTGTTATTTTAGTATTTGTTGTCCGATTTAAATGTCTTCACGAATAAGTAATCGTATTATGTAATGCTCAGTTTTTAACATTATAACATGATACATACATTACGGGGAATGATCAATACCTAAATTTCCTATGTGACAATATTAGTCTATTTCCCACAATGCAAAGTGATATGCTCAGTAAACACGCTCAATAGACACACAATTTGAATTTAGCTCTAACTTCCTTTAAAGAACAATAACACTGTACAATGAACTGATGACTTTGAAAAATGATATGTCTGTGGTACTTGCTACTTTTAGAAAACAAGTAACCAAACCCACTCACAGAAAAAACAGTATAATTATTTTTCTTTATCATGCTAAATCTGGAACAAGGTCCTTCCTTTATTCTCGCTTCAAACTCCTCACCACAAGAGGAAACTTGTGAGTCATTTTATTGACTCATTTTATTGACAGGTATAAGGGAAATTTGGTTCAGTATTCAAGTCAAACATAAATTCAATAAATATTTTTATACTTGCTCTAAAAATTATTTTAAAATATAGTGCTACAAGACAGATGCAGCAAGGAAGTTTTTCTTGGTAAATTTCATGAAGTGAATAATAAGAAAGTATAGTTTTTACTGCTTCTGTATGTTAGTTTGCCAAAATTTAGCCAAATACGTTGTTTTTGTATAGAAAATTCCCCTGCATATGAACACCTAATTACATGAAGAACATAGAACACTTTCCAGGGTTCTTGAATCTGAAATTGTCATGTGACTGTAAGGCAGTCACTGATTGGCTGCTGTATTGTACAATTTCAGCCAAATGCTGCTTAAAGAGGAAGCCCAGGGATTGCACCAAAGAATCATGGGACACTATTGTTTTATTGTCTTTATTAATCTATCTTTTGTTATCCATTGTAATTTTAATCCAGAAAGTAAATTTTATTGTGAGATTAGGCTTAACTGGAAGTGCCCCTTTAATGAATCATTCGGCTGTGAAAGTGTTGTTTTTTCCTGATTCATTCCTGATTTCCTGATCTGAAAAACGCACTTAACTTGTCTCTTATTTAGTTTCATGCCGTATTCAAGATGGCAGCCTTTACGTAGTAAATATGAGTAAAGTAATTGCATTTATTTTCTTATCACATGCCAACTGACTATGAGTTGAATGTAAAATACAGAAAAAAAAAAGTATATTCGCTGTATTTTATTATTACTGGATCATCCCTTCAGCGAAAGTAGTTTACAGTATTGCATGTGCTAATAATAAAGCAGATACACTAAATCTAGTATTCAAAAACTACAGAAAATATAAAAATGATTCATTATAACCAAACTAAACTTCAGAATATTCTGTGTTTAGTTTGCAGATTATATATACGAATAACGATTATATATAAGATTAATGTTGAATTCATATTTTTGTATATATGACTACATGCACCCACACATTGTTGACATATAATATTTGGAGTCACATTTATTATTTATTTTATTACTGGCTGCATAGTTTTCAAAAAACTCTTGTTCGTCAAAACACACTAGCCATTGTGGGATTTATTGACATAGAAGTCAGGAATTTATTACTATGGTGTCTTCACCTTGAACATGAAACTGTCACTTGCACTCACACTTTAAACTGGAAAAAACATGTCAGTTTCACACCAATCACAGTCCCTCTATAGACCAATACATCACATTGTATTATTATTTCTATTATTATCAGCTTAACAAAAAAAAAATATTTTTTTTTATTTCAGGCCTTAAAGTATGATGATATTGAACATCGCCATGTGTTAAATTTAATTACCGTAAAATCTGTATTAGAAGACGCATCCCTAATATAAGTCGCACCCATTCTTTTTGAACAATTCAGACCCAAAAATTTACCATTTTTCATATGTGTAGATGCTCTAATAGAAGCCACATCCCCTCTGTTGCACTGTAGCTCTTCAATAATGCTTGTTTATTAATGCTTTTGTAGACACAACATTAAATACTTAAAGTGCCTGTGAAATGGCTGCTATTTTCACGCCTAAAATTATCCATTGATACATAAATATTATTATTTTTTTATGTTTCTAAGCATGAATTATTTTTTTAAGTGAAAAAATGTGTTTTAAACTCAATCTACGGCAACTTTATTTTTGTGTATTTTAAAACGAGGCTCCTCATTAGCTTCTTATTTGCATACAGAAATTCCCCTTGTGACGTCAGAAGGGGAAGTCGCATGGCAGCTTGCATTGCCGATACGTGTAAATAAGGCATTTCTTGTGCAGTTTTCTCGTCTTTGACTATATTGTCACTTATGTACTTGTTCGTCGAGGAAGAATGGACCATAATGAACACATAGTATCAATTTTTGTTGCATGGGGTTGAGTTAGATGCAAAATATGTCCGTTCTGGTGTAGCTGGTCACCGTGATCGTCACCGACGCACGTTTGTACACTGTCGCTGGACAAAATAGAATTTGACGTCGGAATTATCTTGTTATTTAGCAGGTTACTAGGCACGTCACTACACTGTTTTATTTCATCGATCGTCTGAGTAAAACTTTCAAAATTGAAATAAAAGAGAACATATTTTGACATTCTGAACATTAGACTGTAGTGATCACTATAAAATAATTTAAAAAACAAC